GTGTAGCCCTCAAGAGCTCTTACAAAATTGAGATCATTATCCTTTGATTGGGGGGTGGGGGCAATATTTTGAATATTTAAAATATATCTCAAAGACATATATAAGGCTTAGTTTCTTTTATGGGGGTAATCTATCACAAATTTAAATTACTCTAATACAAAGATGGACAAATAATTACTTTCAATATATTGATTGTAAATATCAGTCAAGTTTATACATTAAAAAAATACAATTAAAACCACATATAAAATTATCATATTTATAAATCAAAACTTCTACTATAGGTGTGTACTAATGGAATCAAAAGACTTAAGATAGCCCTTAGGTTGAACTAAATTAGATGGTCTAATGGGAAGGAGTGTAGGTATTAAAAATCATTAAAAAGTGCTTAAAAACGAATAAAAGAAAAAGACCAATTGGTTAATATATATAAAAAATGAAGTAAATAAAAGAAGTAAAGAAAAAAATTGAAGCCAAGCACAAGCAAAAAACAAAAGTACCTAACACTCTAGTTCCATTTAACTAGCCTAAAGAGGTTATACCCTAATAAGAATTATAGGGATTATGATACATTAAGAGACATATACTATGACTAAAATTTAAATAAATTGAAGTTCCTTTACATATGAGATTGTTGAGACCTAATTAAGCTAGTCAAAACTCACTTTCGCAATTAGGAGTTTTTTTTGTTTAAAGGAGGACTAATGAAGAGATAATATTGATTTGTATTTGGTTATATTAATTTAGTTATTAACAAATTGTAGAGTTTTCAATTAAATTGTTTTAGGTTTTTGAAATTTGATTTGAAGGATTGCAATTTAACAAAATTAGACAATGAACTAATCGAGTTCATATGAATTACTTATAGACCACTAAAAATTTATGTTTAAGGGATTTTATTATTTTAAAGTTTATAATAGCTTATGCTATGAAAATTGTATTAAAATTGAGGCTACCATGTCATTTTGTGCAAGAAATCTTCATGAGGAGAAAAATTAGATAGCGCCGCACCTTGGAACGCTACAACGCTTAAGGCAACATTTGAATGCAAAATTGAGGCCTAAGTGTCACAATGCCAATGCACCCAACCACATGGTGCTATGGAGAATTGAGAAAGATAGAGACTAAAGCATCACAATACCAAACCGCCTTAACATCGCAACACAATCATAACGTTGATGTGTAAAATCGCAAGAGCATCATGATAGAGAAGTTAATATAATTACAGGTGAAGTGAAATATTGATTTATATATAACGCTGCAATGTTGTACCTTCAAAGCATCACAACATTAATTCATCTTAGGAGCACTGTAGCACTAGTACCTCAAGCATCATGATATTGAGGGCAGTTATGAGATACTAGTATAAAAAGAGGGCCAAATTTTTTGAGTGTGGTGGTTATTATTTTGCTATATATTTTTTGTTTTCCTTCATTAAGTAAGAGAGTGGAAGATAGGGAGTGTGCAAGGAGAGCAAAATCGCCTTTTTGTGAAGTAGAACTTGTATTTTTTGTAAGGAGATTCCTACCTCTATCTTACTCACTTTATTTTCTTGAACTGTTTGTTTTGATTATCAATTATTTTTAGGTTTGTCATTTCCATTATAATGAATATTAGTGGCTAGATCTTTTTTTTTTTTGAACCTATGGTATCATATGGTGAAGTATGTGTGACGTAGATTAAAAAAAAAAGTGTGACGTAGATTAAAAAAAAAAAGTGTGACGTAGATTAGGTCTTAGCATCAAATAGAATAACATAATTATTTTACTTTACTCATAATTTAACTTACTTATGGATTGGTCATTCACAAAGTTAACAACTATGTGTAATTTATAACCTCAAGAGAGGCATAGTGGAACAAACAAAGTAATATGACCAAAATTTTGAAACATAGAAATATTTATTTCAAGAATTTTGATATTAATTTCTAATGATATATTATCATGCAGTGAATAAGTTATTAGAATATGTTAATCATTCATTCAATTCCAATGAACTTGATAAAGGCTATGAATCACTTATGATCTAATCCACAACTAAATTGATTAGACCAATCTACATTACACATTCAATAGATCAATCATAAATTCAGAAGTTAAAAAAAATAAAATAAAATAAATTCAGAAGTTCATTATTAATTATAATTTTTTAAGTGAGATAGTTTGTTTTCTTTAGAATTTTCAAAATCAAGTTGGTGGCAAGATAAATAGTGTGGTTAAGAGAATCTATAATTATCTCACCAAAATTAAATAATTAATCTCTGTTGGAATTATAATCTGTCATTTACTAGATTATTTGAACGAAATGTGCACCTGCATAGCACTGTATGGAAAAAGCTGGATCACCTACATGCATAAAATTTTATGCAGGAGTGCTACAGAGTTATGCTTAAGAACGCGACAGGGCTTGTTTCTTTGTAACGGAGTTCTGATTTTGAGAGCGTAATAATACTGGGGAGTGGCGTTACAATGTTGTCCTCTCTATCCTATAGTAACTTGATGTAGCACATCAATGTTGAGGTCTCAAACGCTACGGTGTTGGCACAATCACAATATTTTTTTATATAAAATATCTCAATACATTTTATTAAAATCCTCACCACCCCCATCCCTGCTCATTTCACATGCTTGGTAAAGTAAGGAAAAGAATATATAAGAGAAGGGGGAGGAGAGAGAAAGTTGATTTTAAGTCATTTTTGTCCATCCCTCTAATTGCAAAAATCATTTTGATTGTGGAAATAATCATTATACTATATTTGTTTTCAATTATTTTATTTTTATGGTTTTATCCCACCCAAATCTATTTGAAAAGCATTATATCTCAATTTAGCAAGTTTTCAACATATAAATTTTGATATATAATAAATATCGTTATTCTGAGCATTTTGGTATGAACATATTGAAATTTTACGGAGCAGTTGTGCTTATGTTATTTTGGATGAAATAAATAGGCTAAAGCATGTATACAATGTATAGGAGCTAATATATTCAAATGTAGGCATGAAATATAACATGTATAAGAGTATTGTTTATTTTGGCATATTACATATATTTTGATAAGCACACTAGATTATTTTATCCATTATGATAAATGATTGAATAAAATGATAATTGCTATTATATAATGAATATGGTTTATGGTCCTATGGATATATGTTACCCTATATAATAAGATGGGTTGATAGGCTTTCCTTTAAATAAAGTTTGTAGTATGATCTTAAAATATATAAAACAAAGATATAAAGAGATTGATTAATATGTATAATATGACAGTGATCAGAAATTGATGACTTATTACATGAAAGCCATCTTACTTGTGATAAAGAATATCATCACTAATTTTTTTTATAGGATTGATATGATTGAGACTAATTCTTGTAGGGTTGGCCTATGGGACCTAATACACGAAAAAGACTACAAGAGATGGATGTCATGCCTTGCTTATAATATGATATACATACATGAATGAATTGCATATTTATTGATAGAATGAAGTATAACGTGAAAATTACATAATTGATATGACATGACATGAGCAGATACATGATATGACTGATAATACATGCATATGATAAGACTAATACTAGAACATATAATACACATGATACATTGCATTTAGAAATGATATAAATTATGATACATATAGATTATTACTATACAACTTACATAGACGATAGACATACCAGTATAAATTGAATGGGATAGAGATAGAACAAAAGTACATATTATATTTGATATGAGCATAGAAATGATAGATCATGCTGATTCTTTATATGATTATTGATCATTGATCGCCCAGTTATAATGGCTGCATTAATTTCTATTATTCATATTGACTGTCATGATTTTATATTTGAAATTTTCCCCGAGTGTTGAGACTTGGTTAGAGAATATATTTGCTTTATTGTGAAGCACTTCATTCTTAGCAAGAAGCTTTCCAATATGGTTATCATATTGCTCATTCTAAAATTTTCACATGTTGGCGAAATTCTATTCTTTAAATATATTTATCAATGAATAACCTCCAGAATCATCATAAAATTATTTGTCGATAGGCTTAAACTTATGATATCATTTGTCATCCATGAGGCTCAATGTGGATTCATGTATGGCAAAAACTCTCTTGATAATATAATCTTCGCTAATGAAATCCTTAATTGCCTTCACACTAAGCTCTCTTTAAGCTCTTTTGTGCAGAACTTGATATTAAGAAAAACTTCATATTTACAAACCAAGACTATCATATTAATAGACAGTTGGGTAAAGACTTCCCTTCCCTCTTTATTTCTGAACCGAAGGCAACATTTTCTACACCATGATTAAATCTATAGAATGTTTTGCATTTTCTTTAAAAAAGATCAAATTTTTTTTAATTTCTTTTTAAAAGCAAATTTTTTTATGTTTTTTTTCGGAAAAGGCAATATTTTTGTAATTATACTTCTTAAAATTTCTCCTAATTATGTTTATTTTTTGCTTATATAAATTTTTATATTGCTATTTTATAGTGTAGCCGACCCTTTATTGTGAGATGAAGGCTTCAAATTGTCATTGTTGCTCTTTTATAAAATTTGGCAAGTTTAAAAAATAAAAATCATCATATCTAATTATATAAGCTCGAAAAATAATTACCAGCATTATTTGGGACAATTTTTTTACTATTTTCTATAATAAATTTTTAGTATAAAAATTTCTTGAAGTAACAAAATAATAATAACCAAAAGCTGTTCCAACAATGGCCAAATCTCCCATTTTATAAATTTTTTTTTTTCAAATTTTGCTATACCTGTGCATTTAAAACTAATTTTTAATATTTTCAGCTTAGGCTCGAATGGCCCAAAAAATTTATTTTGATGTTTGGTTTGAAATTAATATAATAAAAGTATTCTTCAAATAAAAAATTTTAAAAAAAATCTAAATGCTTTCCTACTAAAAGCTCAAGCACAGTATCACTCAATGATCCATACCAAACAAAATTTTCTTACCTTTCTGAACGAGGAAGAATAACATTAAAACAAAAACAAACAATTAATTGATGGTTACATTGTCAGCAAATAATAAAATCTTCTACAAATTTTTCTTTCTTCATCAAATGCTTCTAAATCCATTTTCCTTGCAACAAAACACTTCAATAATAAGTAGCTTTCTACCCTTCCAAGTACAAAATTGGCCTTCCTGGATTAAAGCTCTATAACTACCAGCCAAAAGGCTGTATATCATCATAATTTCTTTCGAGCAAAGCGCTGCAAAGATTTCGGCAATTCAACTTCATCAACTTTCTGTTTCTTCAATGGACGTTCTTCTACCTGATGAAGCTCCCTAAATGATCTCTTTGCGTTTAGAACAACCTCCTCCTTCTTTTTAGCCTTTTTGCTTGGCTTGCTCCTTCCCTTGGTCTTATTCTTGAAGGTAACGCACTTTGCTTTCTGGACAGTCTCATCCAGTTCAGCCTCTACTTCCTTTCTACTTAGCCTCTCCTTCTTTCTTGGTGGTCTTACTGTTCCAATCTTGCTTGGGTCTAACATGATTGTCTCAGGCTGAAGTTTGTCAAGAAGAGAATGTACTTCTTTCTCTCTCCTTTGTTTTTTCGTTTCGTAAGGGTTCGCCACCCAAGAATCGAAGTTCGGTTCGCCAGAACCAGGAACTAGAATACTCGATATGCCCATGGAATGCCCGATCCCAAGCACATCTTCGTAAGGCCGAAAGCAGACCTTCCCAATCTGATAGCCCTTCACCATTGAATGATTCATGTATCTTCCATAATCATGGCTTCCAACCGGATCTCTCCATATCTGTACCTGAGATCCATTTGACAAAGCCAGCAAGCCCTTCTGACTGAAGTCCATGGACTGGGCATAACTAGAATAGCTTCTAAGAACCTGAAACTTTCTTATATCCCATAGCTTGATCTTGCGGTCTATACCAGCGGTAGCCATTAGATGGCCATTGCAATGGAAGGCAAGGGCTGTTATTGGACCATGGTGGCACAGCATTGTAACAAGTGGTTTTGGGCTTGTGGGCTTCCACATAGTGACTTTGCCGCCGGCATGACCCAAACTTATAATTGCATTGTAAGGGTTAGTCTCCATCACATCGGTGCGACCAAGCCCGGTGCGGTAATTGCCAACAATCTCACCTGTGCTCACATCTTGGTAGTGAAGTTGCCCAAATTTGTTTATTGATACCAATAGGAACTGCTTGTCCAAAAACTGAAGCTTTAAAGGCGCTCCATGTTCCTGAAACAGCAGAAATTTTTTTAATCATAAAGCACAATAATTCAAGAATGACAAACAATTAGACCCACAAAAAGTAATTGCTACATAAGCTAAGTGATTAAAAAAATTATGATGTTAAAAGCAAATTAAGAACCAAGACACAAGGTTAGAATTAAATCAACTCAAAAATAAATTCAAAATGATCGATTAATTATATATAATAGATATAATAAGTGATATCAAGTAAAAGAATAAAAACTATAAATATAAAAATGATAAATCTATAACAATGAAACTTAGAAACTAATGTTAACTCAAAAATGATTATAAAAGTTAATATATATATATATATATATATATATAAAACATACGTTCAATAATTGAACGCATATTGTTTTAGTGGGCCTCCATTAGGTCCCTCAATAGTATATGTATGGTATAGATATAGCGCATTATAGATATAGTTATAGTATAATTATAGTATAGTATTAGTATTGTATAATACAATTATAAACATAGTATAATATAATATAGTATAGTATTGTGTAATATAGTATAGGTATGGTATAATAAAGTATAGTATAGTATAGTAGTATAATAATATAGTATAATATAATTTAGTATAACATAGTAGTAGTATAGTATAGTATAGTATAGTATTGTATAGTATAATATGGTATAATATAGTAGTAGTATAGTATAGTATATTAGTAATATAGTATAGTACAATATAATAAAATATAGTAAGAAATTGTAGTAGTATAACAATTGTATAATAGTACTATAGTATATGATATACCCTAAACCCTATATACTATAGTACTACTATACTATATTATAATATACTATACTATACTATACTATTTTATACAATACTATAGTATACTACTACTATATTATACTATAGTACTATTATAGTACACTATACTATACTATACTATATTATAATATAATATACTACTACTATACTATACTACACTATAATACTACTGTATTATACTATACTGTTACTATATTATACTATAATATACTATATTAAATTATATTACACTATGCTATACTATACATAGTTGTTGTATAGTATAATTTAATATAATAATACCATATTAGACTATACTATTACTATGTTATACTATAATATACTATATTAAACTATATTACACTATGCTATACTATATATAGTTGTTGTATAGTATAATTTAGTATAGTTGTAGTATAGTATATTATAATATAGCATAACAAATTATTGTATATTATAGTATAGTATAGTGTAGTTGTAGTGTACTATAGTACAATTTAGATAAGTATAGTTATAGTATAATATAATATAGTTGTATTATAGTATGGTTATAGTATAGTTGTAGTATAATATAGTATAATATAGTTATAGTATGGTTTAGTTGTAGTATAGTATTTTTTTAATATAGAATAATGTATAGTATAGTAGTTATAGTACAATATGGTTATAGTATAATATAGTTATAACATAGTACATTAGTATATTATACTATACTATACTATATTATATTATATCATACTACAATATATTATATATCAATATTATACATATACTATACTATACTATACTATAATCATACCTATACGATACCTATACTATCTATAATTATACTCTAGATATATTATATTATACTATCATTCACTATACTAAACTATACAAATACTATATTATACAATGCTATATAAATACATTCTCTATACACCATGCATATAATCCTACATCTCTTTCCATGTATCATTTGATCCATAAAGCCTTCCCTTATTGTCTATCTCAAATATGTGGCGCACAAACAATTTCTAGATCAATCTTTAGGTTTTATGATATCTTTTATTTAAGGCTTGAAATTTTCTCCTTCCGCTTGAAGAATAAGTTCACTACGAAAACTCATTATATTATTATTATCTAGTTGCATTTGCAATTATCTAAATTTATATGGAATATGGAACCTGAAACATTGGGATAAACTAATAATAATTATGATCTTATAAAAACAAATTATACACACACATCTAATCCTACTTTTTCAAGATTTATCATTTTCAAGAAAATATAGTCCTGAATAATGAAGCATAAAGAAATTGCGGTATGCATAGAAAAACTAATAACAGCAAACCAACGTCAAGTTTTCGTTGAGAGGAAATACAAACCTTAAGGCAGTGAATTTCTGTGCCATGCCTATTATAAATGTACGGATATCTGCCACAATTCACCATAAATCAGTCAACACAACAATAAAAAGTCACGAGATGGAAATTAAATGGTCAACAGATAAAAAATACATTATGAAACAGAGAATACATTAAATGCTCCAGGAGTTTCCTTCACAAATTAATTTTCTCAATGCTATCATACGAACTAGATTAGTGTAGTATAGTAATATGATAGGAAATACTTGATTCCAAGTATTCCCTAATCACTTTAGCCAAAGATCTCACAGCAAACTGCTGTCCACAGCAGGAAATCAGCCAAAACAGTGGGAAAACACGAGAAAAATGATAGAAACACGAAGTAAGAACTTGTATTTTACTAGAAGATGAAAGGAAATAGAAAAGATACAATTGATCCTCAATTCGAGAGGAGGATCGATCTCTCCCAAATCTCTAGAAGCCGCTAGAGCCCAAAGAAATCCTAATTCTAAGAGATCTCAAATTTCAGTCAAATTCAAGATGATCAAACCCTAGGAAAATCTACTATTTAATGCATACAAATCAAAAGGAATTCCCTAAACAGTCCCTACGTTCAAATTTCCCTCTCAAAACGCTCAAAAAAAACTTCCTAAACGGCTCTACGGGGGCGGACGGGCCGCTCGTTCTCCGCCAGATTCGCCTGTTCGCGATTTACGCTCGTGAACCGGTCCCGTCTGGACCGGCTGGACCGGTCCAGTGGACCGGTAACATCTCTGAATCTTCTTTGAATATTTCTAAACTATAAAGCCAGGAAAGAAAGTCAAGGGTTTCTGAATTCTAGAATTGCAGTTATTACTATCATCAAGAAAAAATATATATATTAAGCACGCTAAAACAGAAATATATAGCTAGTAACAACAAATTAACATGGAAGTTTAATAGAATATATATTCTGAAAATAGCTTCAATTATTTAAAACAAACATAAATTTAACAGAAACATGTAAGAATTTTATTGAGAATGTCAGTAAAACAACAATTGCTTCCAGAACTAATGCATTACTAATCAATAATCATAGTAGCATCAGCCAAAACATTTTATCGGTTTTATTAAGAGATGGGGATTGTTTTTGTCAGGTATAAGAAGAATTCATCAAGGTACCCATCCTACTATTATAGTGCCATGTCAACAACAAAAGACATGCAATCACATACCTGTAAGGTACATGTGTGGAAAACCTTTTGAATAAATATGAACATGATTAAGCAAATCTATTATATCCAAGCACTCATAGTATATCTTTTTCTACTTTCGTCTCACTACTCTAGCAAGAAAAGATATGTGCCTTCATATTTTTCAATCTATTTTTTTATGTTGACAAGATTATAGTAACTAGTTGATGTAGGGTGTTTTAGGATTTAGGATTTAGTAATGTGAACTTAGGATGAGTTGGGCAAAGGAATACACAAAAGAATACAATTTGCAGTTTTTTAAAACTTTTCAATTTAGACAAAGATTGGTGATTTTTAATGCAAAATAAGAAAAAGCACCACATTCATTCTAAATAATAACTTAAAAGTTGTCAGAATCTAAAATTTCCTACGAAATCTGAGAACAAAAAAAAAAAAAAAATCCATGAAAATAAGAAATAGCTAGTAACGAACTTAACAATATCAATGACGCACACAAATAAATCCTTACACATTTTATAAGAAAGAACAAGGATAGAAATCATCAATTGAAAGTATAGTTTTCATGACAACAAGGAGAATTAACCTCCCGAAGTTATCATTAAGACATGTAGAAAGCTTAAAGAATCTACATCCAACAATATGCATAAGAATTAAGAGCAAACTTGAAAATTTTCATTCAATTGTTCAATCATCCAATGAAGCTTATATACATCATTAGCCCTATTTATAGCCCAAGAAAATCCAAAACAAGTAAATTATATGAATCTCCTCAGATCTAACATAATATTACAAGTTTCAATCCCAAAAACTTGAATTCCAGCAAGAGCATTAAATTTCTTACCATAGTTTCAACAAAATAATGAGTTTCCAATTAAAAAAAAAATACTCTACTAATATTGGATTTTCAACTAAAATACAAAAAGAAAATCAATCAGTGAACGAAGCTACAATACCGAATAAGCATATAAGGCAAATCGAGAATTGCTTTAGTTCCGATTATGGGAATAGAAGAAATCCTAGCAGTCGAAAATTGCTACAGTAACTTGCATCCAAGTTAAAATAGTTTATGGAAACAATAAACCGTGAAATTCCAAATTAGTTGATGGACAACTCAGAAGATCAATTGTGTGCTAAAATAGGAAATCAGATACCAACAGTTGAATTGAAATAACTTGTAGTAGTAAGTCGAAGTTAATGTGGTAATCATTCTTTCAGATAAAACCTGATACAATAATTTGGGTGCAAGCAACTTTTTTTGGTGAACAAATCCATGAATAATTTTATATCACACACTGATAAATTAATACTCTAATTTCTTTGAGAATATGCATAAAAATTGAGAGCAGCAGCAACAACAACAACAACAACAACAACAACATCAAGCCTTTATCCCACTACATGGAGTCGGCTACATGAATCCTTTTTCTCCATTGTGTCCTATTAAAAGTCAAATTCTCGTTTAAATCTAATAAAGAAAGGTCATTCCTAATATTTTCTAACCAAGTCTTTTTAGGTCTACCCCTACCTTTCTTAACATAAGTCAAATCTAATACCTCTACTCTCCTAACCGGGTCATCGAAAGGCCGCCGTTTTATGTGACCAAACCATCAAAGGCGACTCTCTCTAATCTTATCTTCAACTGGAGCTACTCCAACCTTTTCACGTACATTTTAAGTTTACTTTCAACTCCCTCTCTAGTCTTATCAACAAGAAGAATATCATCAGCAAAAAGCATACACCAAGGTACATCCTCTTGCAAATGTCTAGTGAGAACATCCATGACTAAAGTAAAAAGATATGGGCTTAAGGCTGATCCTTGATGTAACCCAACCGAAATAGGGAAATACTTGGTCAATCCACCTTGTGTTTGAACACAAGTAATAGCTCCTGCATACATATCTTTAATGATTTGAATATAAGCATTATTGACTCCTTTCTTTTCAAGAACTCTCCATAGCACTTCTCTTGGAACTTTATCATATGCTTTTTTCTAAATCAATAAATATCATATGTAGATCATCCTTATTTTCTCTATATTTCTCCATCAAACCTCTTAATAAATGTATGGCTTCCATAGTCGACCTACCCGGCATGAATCCAAATTGATTTTGAGAAACATTAGTATCACGCCGCAACCTATGCTCCATAACTCGCTCCCATAGTTTTAAAGTATGACACATTAACTTAATACCTCTATAATTCGCACAATCTTGTGCATCACCTTTATTCTTAAAAATATGAATTAACACACTAATTCTCCACTCATCTGGCCTCTTTTTAGTCTTCAAAATAGTATTAAAAAGTTTAGTAAGCCATGAAATTCCTTCATCTCCTAAGCATTGCCACACCTCTATTGGAATATCATAAGGTCCAACATCTTTTCCACCCTTCATTTTCTTTAAAGCCTCTCTAACTTCAGTTTTACTAATACGCCGATAAAAACATAAATCTTTATTTTCATCTAGGGTGCTAAGGTCACTATAGTCAATCTTATTTTCACAATCTTCATTAAAAAGTTTAGCAAAATATCTCATCCATCTTTGTTGAATATCATATTCTAAGAAAAGTATTTTTTGATCTTCATCTTTAATACACTTCACTTGAACTAAATCCTTACTACTCCTATCTCTTTGTTTGGCTAACTTATGCATAAAAATTGAGAGCAAACTTGAAAATTTTCATTCAATTGTTCAATCATCCAATGAAGCTTATATACATCATTAGCCCTATTTATAGCCCAAGAAAATCCAAAATAAGTAAATTATATGAATCTCCTTAGATCTAACATAATATTACAAATTTCAATCCCAAAAACTTGAATTCCAGCAAGAGCATTAAACTTCAACAAAATAATGAGTTTCCAATTTAAAACAAAAATTTATTTCTAGTAATATTGGATTTTCTAAGAAAATCTAAAAAGAATATCAATCAGTGAAAGAACTGCTTTAGTTCCGATTACGGGAATAGAAGAAATTCTAGAACATTGCTACAGTGACTTGCATCCAAGTTAAAATAATTTATGGAAACAATAAACCGTGAAGTTCCAAATTAGTTGATGGACAACTCAGAAGATCAATTGTGTGCTAAAATAGGAAATCGGATACCAAGAGTTGAATTGAAATAACTTGTAGTAGTAAGTCAAAGTTAATGAGGTAATCATTCTGTCAGATAAAACCTGATACAATAATTTGGGTGCAAGCAACTTTTTTCGGTGAAAAAATCCAAGAATACTTTTATATCACACACTGATAAATTAATACTCTAATTTCTTTGACAGCTCATGACAGGAATATAAAAAAAATTGAAACTACTAAAGCACAGATAATGCTACTTATCAAACAAAACAAACATAATTTGAGCAATAATAGTTTGGGCGGCAGGGTCGTGTAAACAAAACAACTCTCTTACTATCAATTCATGCTCCCATTTGTAGGTGTGACTTTTCTTTTATGCTTTTCCAATGTTCTAAATAGTAGACATGCTCACTTAATAGATCAATGAACAAGGTTATTGCCCTATAACAATTAAAAATCATAATGATAATATATTTGGCAACTGCAAAATTGCAAATCATAACCATTTCACATTTATAGTTTGTAATGGAGTAGGAAAGAAGAAAATAAGCTGGAAGGTAACCCCATTGCATATCAGTATGACAATAGCAGTAATTTGTAATAGAATAAAAAGAGAGTTTACCTCTTCTGGGCGACTGCGAAAAATTGTTCATTATGCAGGAAAACCACATCACGCACTGTTTCCCTAACCTGTTGGACAAAAATGATTAGTCATTGTTAACCATTGAAACAAATAAAATGATTTGAACATTAAAGATGGCATCAATTTATTGAGAATTGATAGATTATGTTTTTAATACCAATTCCATGACAAGATAGATGACCAAGAAGAATATAGATGAGGCTGTTACGCCGGGCCTGGTTGGACCGGTCCAGACCAGACCGGTCCGGTTCTACGTGAGGAAGCGGGGAGCTCCAGGCGGAGCTGGCAGGGAGGGCGGAAGCTATGTGGAGCCCACCTTGGGTTAAATGCAATGTTTGGAGGGAAAATTATTTGAGGGAAGGGCTGTTTAGGGAATTTGCTTGAGTCCTTTCTTTTTAAGTAGAAGTTTTGGAGGGATTTAGACTATCTTGAATTTGAATGAAATTGGAGATCTAGGGTTTGTTCTTCTTGGGCTCTAGGGTTTGCTAGAGATTTGGAGAGTTGTTTCTTCCTCTCGAATCGAAGGAACGTGTATCTTTTATTGTTTTCTTGAATCCTTTAATGAAAGATCTTGTTTTGCTTGAGATTTCTTCCACTGATTTGCTGTACGTTGCTGTTTTCTACTGAAAAACTGCTGTTTTCTGCTACAAAACAGCAGTTTCCTCTTCGTTTTGTGCTGATTTTGGTTAGGTTTGCTTGCGAACTCAAGTATTGCCTTAGGGTTACTTGCGAACTCAAGTATTTCCTATCAAATTGGTATCAGAGCATTGTCTTGGGACTTTTGGAGGCTGAAATCTGAAAATTAAATTTCAGCAATTTTTCTTTCCTCCTCAAGAAGTTCTTCTTGTAAAACCTTGGAGGGAAGATGGCCGGAAAGAAGGTTGATGCACTGGAAAGAGAAATAGGCCAACTGAAGGCTGATTTGGAGGAAAGAACCATTGATTTTCACAACCAATTCGCTTCCATTCATGAAAAGATGAATGGGAGGTTCACTGCTTTGGAGGATATGATGAAGAAGATGCTTGAAGACAAACAAAATCCGGCGACATTGGAGACAAGGGAGGCCACAGGCGGCCATTCAAGAGGAGGAATTCCGAACCCATTAAGGGGGAGGGAGAACCCGAAAGTGGAGATTCTCGAGGGAGATGATGGAATACCTCCTCTAGAACTGCTTTCTAGGGAGGAGATGAGTATGGGCTATGAAAGGAGGGGTGCAGAATTTTTTGGGAGAAGGGACGATGCTTACCACCGTGGTGCTGATTTAGAAAGAAGAAGAGGGGAATGTGATGAAGGGGTCGGGTATGATCGTCAGAGGGAAGATCGTGACTACTGGGGAGCACCTCCTCCTAGAGGAATGGGAGGTTATGGAGGAGTTAGGGGACACGGTGGTGACCCGAGAGTGAGGAAATTGAAGATGCCCATCTTTGAGGGCGAAGACGCACATGGCTGGATCTACAAGGTGGAGAGATACTTTACAGTCAATGGGTTGAATGAGGAGGAGAAGTTGACAGCTGCAGGCTTGTGCTTAGAAGGGAAGGCTCTGGCATGGTATCAATGGCGGGACATGAGGCGACCCATTCGCACCTGGAGGGAGTTCAAGGACTGTCTACTAGAACGCTTCCGAACCAGCAGGGGAGGAGACTTCTATGAGCAGTTTTTTGCCTTGACACAGGAAGGGACAGTGGCAGAGTATCGTGACCGGTTCGAGTATTTGGCCAGCAGACTGGATCGGCTCTCAGAGACAGTGTTAGAAGGAAACTTTATGAAGGGGCTGAAAGCGGAGATCCGGGCAGCAGTTCGGGTGATGAGGCCACGAGACCTTGGAGAGGCCATGGAGCTAGCTCAACTGGTGGAGGACCAGAAGCATCTGGAGAAGGGGATTAGGGGAAGCAATTCTGGGGGATCTTACAGGATGACCACTACTTTCTTAGCTCCAAAGGCACCAGCAACAGGGGGGTT